GGATTATATTAAAAATTATGTATCGTAGCCGAGTTCCGCCAAATGGAAACGTACGTCCCGAAATTCACTCCATTTGGTCTGATATTAGCCATTATTTGCACAATAAACCTGAAATAGGATTAAGGATTTATATCCAAATCCTAGCCGTTCTCGATAAAAATTTGCAAAGGTATTTCCGAGCTCTTTAAGACATTTGGTAAATATCATTGTTTTCAAACGCATATTACGAACATGAACAGATTTTCTCTGAATTCGATGTACTTGCTTCTAGACTGAATTCGGTCGGATATACACATATTCATGTCATTTGGTCCGACATTGGCTATTTGGTGCACAATATTTGGTGGAATTCATATTACGCTTGTGAGGGACTTGAAACCCCAAAGCGGATAAAACATGTATATGGGAGCTAAAGCTATATCTGAACCGATTTACATCAAATTTGAAGTACTGGTTTCTAGAATGAATTCAGTCCATTTGGCTCATATTAGCCATTTGGTGCACAATAAAGCTGATATCGGATAAATATATATGAGAGCTATATCCTAATCTGAATAGCTAAACAGAATGGCTTTTCTCCAAATTTGATGTACTAGCTTCTAGACTGAATTCGGTGGGATGTACCAAAATTCAGGTCATTTGGACTTATACTGGCCATTTGGTGCACAATTAACCCGAAATCGGTTGGAGATATATGGGAGCTATATCTAAATCTGATCCGATTATTACAAAATTTCAATAGGGTTCGTCCCTGTGCCAAACAAATATTTTTTGGAAAATTTCAGCTCAATCGGATAATAAATGGGACCTGCAGCTTCCTTCTCCACGTTACAAACAAATGCACAAAGACATAATACCCTTTTCCAGATTCCAAGATATCTATTAGTGTCCGGAAATATGTGCAATAGGGATAAATGTCTATTTTGATTTAAAAAAAAGCCCACAAGTAGAGTCAGAAGCTAAAAATCAACGAGACTACTCGAAAGTATCGAGAATTTCCTTCTCAAACTAATATTTGATAGAATATTTTTAGGCGTTCCCAATATCAAATTTCTACATTCTAGCTCCATCCCTTCACCCAATTCAAAATTTAGTAACATTTAGTACTTTTAGTATAATTTTAGTACTCATTTGTAAAACCGCTCCATATCTCAATCCAAGACACAAACGGTCATCGCAATCTAAAATTTCACGGTTTCAGCTCCATCCCTTCACCCAATACCTTTGGAACAACTATAGTACGCATTTCCAAACCCACCTCCAAATCTCAACCACAGATACTAACAGTGACATCTGTATCGAATTTCATGATCTCCGATTTATTCCTTCAATCAATACCAAATTTAGTAACGTTTAGTACTTTTTGTAGATATATAGTACGCATTTGCAGATCCACCTCTATATCTACATCCCAGATACCAACAGTGATCTCAACATCAAATTTGTGATTTCAGCTCTATCCCTTTACCCAATATCAAATTTGGTACCATTTAGTACTTTTCGTATAGTTGTAGTACCATTTGTAAAACCGTTCCATATCTCAATACCAAACACCAACAGACACCTCAGTGTCAAATTTTAAGGATTCCAGCCCTATCCATTCATCCAATATCAAATTTAGTACCATTTAGTCCTTTTCGTACATTATAGAAAACATTTCCGGACCATCTCCATATGTCTAGGCTACACATGAAAAGCGACCCTTATACTAAATTTCGGAATTTAAGCACTGTCTGTTCACCCAATACCAAATTGTTGCAAATATAGTACTATTTAGTACTTTTCGTGCAATTGCACACACCTACCAACAACGGGGTGCCCAATACAAAATTCCAGCTTCATCTGTTCACCCTCAAACTTAGTACCATTTAGTATAGGTCGAACGCACATTTCCAAAACCACCTTCCATAGGAGACCCATAAGAGATCTTCCAATTATAGAAGAACCCTGGAGGGCTCATTTTCATATATTGAAAAAATTATTGGGAGCGCCTAAAAGTATGCTATAAAAATGCTAAACATGAAATGATAAAGTCACTACTCTAAACTTTCCTTTAAAGAAGAAATTTTGTTTATTCAGCCTCATCCAGCGGAAAGCTGAAATTGTTAACTCTAGTCTCCCATCTCAAATCCGGAACTGTTAAAAAAATTAATTACAAATTGTCCCTCCACTTATGGTCCTTTCATCCAAACCCTTCAATTTGCAAAAAAAAACAACACAAAACAAATGTCCTTCTTCTTGGCTGTCAAATTAAGTGGTGTCCTCGATTAGAATCGATTAAAGATGTTTATAACAGCAGCAGCAATAACAACAACACTAACAATGACAATAACGCCAACAAACAGCAGCTAAATTGAAGGCATGACAGCACAGAATTAAGTTGCCTGCCTGCCTGTATGCATTTGTGGATGGATATGGTCTGGTCTGGTATCCTCTGATGTGTCGATGACAACACGTGCCTCTTTCATTCGTTTTTTTTTTTTTTGTTCTCGGCTCTCAGCCGCTCATTCATTCAGCCCATACACCCACACGACTTAGCTCTTGTCTGTAAGGATAAGTGTCCGTGTCCGTATCCGTATCCGTGTCGGTCTGTCTGCCAGTGTTTGAATATATTTGTCACAGAGTTGATAAATTTCAATATCCTTTTTTATTTCAATTTTTTTTTCGAAATATTAACATGTTGACAGGTTATTGTTGCCAGCCAAGCACCCACCCAGCCATCCATCCATCCGTCCACTTGTATTTCGTTAGGAGGATATCAGTTCTTTTTATGTAAATGGATATCTTGGATATATGGCTGGCTGGCTGGCTGTGACAGTGATATATGAATATGTATATGTACACATTGGTTTGGTTATGTACAAAAATACATATATACAGGGTGAGATGAAAAAACTGCAACCAACTTCAGACTGCTGTCATTTCTAAGCCACTCGTCCGACAGCTGGTAAAATTATTCCAGTGATAGCTCATTATATTGTTAACAAGCGTACAAAACCATTTTCGTGAGAATTTTCCGGAAAAAAAGTTATGCGTGATAGAATTTAAGCGTGACAGGGTGATTTCGTTATATTTGGCTGGTAAACCACAAGTGGCTATCGTTAGAGCACTCCAGAATTTAAATTTGAAAAAATCTTTTGTGTCTCGTACCATTACGTGATACTGGTAGCGTAGTCCGACATATGTCAATGAAGTGGCCGGAAGAAAACAGCCACATCAGCAGAAATGGTAAAGAAGCGATTTGATAGAAAACCGCGTCGCAATGGCCGAAAAATGGCTCGTGAGCTGAACAAGAACTTAAACCGCACCGGAAAGAAAATAGACTCAGAAGAGTTAAAGAGTTGTTGTTGTAGCAGTAGTACATGCAACTGTTTGCGTTCTGCTAATCTGGTTCCAGCGCCAGGTTTAGAAATTCGTCCATTTTAATGGGCTGTAGCCAGAGATCTTCTGTAGTAAGTTGGGTAGGTTTGGCTATGCCATTAAAGGGTGCAGCGTATCGTGCGGGCCTGTCACGTCACGCACATCTTCATCAATTCGTGCCCTAGGCAGCTGACGTTCTTCAGCTGCAATGATTGGGGGGGGAGAGGGTAGACCCCGAGGACGGCATTCATTTTATAATTGCTAATAGCATCTGCAACTGCATCGGTATGAATGCCAATCAGACCTGCCTGATAGGCTTCTTGATCAAGAGGTTATCTCTTGTAGCGTTTCGACCTCCCTTTCTAGATCATGTATGTCCTTCCTGACACGCCTGGGTGGGGGCAGATTTATCCACCATAAGATTTGGGTTGGGATGACTCTCACGGTAACACCCAAGCAGGTCATGCAACGTTAGCATATGATTATGCTGACGTAAGGGAAGGACTTTAGCCTCCTCATGTAGATGGTTCACTGGTGTCATGGCACCAAGGCACCCTGTCGCAGTTCTCAGGGCAGCGTTCTGACAGGTCTGGATGTGCTTCCACTGCGTATCACTAGTATTCGCAGACCACACTGGAGCCGCATAGCTAAAGAGTTGCTTCGCTTGGCCGAAAATGGTGAACTGCCGAATTTGGTTTTCTCCGTCTCCGATGAGAAAACATTCGTTGTCCAGCAGCAGCAGTAAACAAACAAAATGATCGTTTTTACTTTCCCAAAGAGGTCAGCTGAAGATCTGCACCTTCGGTTAACCACCAGAACTCAAGCGCCGGCCATGGTGTGGGTGTGGGCCGCCATAACAGCCAATGGTCGCTCTCCGCTCGTATTAAAAGACCGTGACATCAAAATAAATGCCGAATATTTTCGCGAAAATATTCTGGAGGTTGTATTAAAGCCTTGGGCAGGCAAACATTTTGGCCGCAGACCTTGGATATTCCAACAGGACTTAGCACCATGGCATTCAGACCGCGCCACCCAAGAATGGTTACAAAATGAGGTTCCTCGCTTCATTTCAAGCGCCACTAAAAATCTCCGGATACCAATCCTTGGGAATATTGTGTCTGGAGTATTTTGGAAACCAAGGTTGGCACTTAAAAATACCAAAGTGCCGATCACCTCAAGCAAGCGCTTCACCGGGAATGGGCCAAAAAATCGCAGAGCAAAATTCGGGCAGCGTGTGACGGTTTCATTGGCCGTTTGAAGACCATAATTTGTGCCAAAGGTGACCAATTCGAACAAATCTAAACTTATTCTAAAATTTGATGATATTTCCGACATTTTTTTCCTTTCATTCAAAAAAAAAAATGTAAAAATTATGGCATTTGACTTTGTTGCAGTTTTTTTATCACACCCTGTACCTAAGCCACATGTGCATATGTATATGTAATTTCTATATTTATAACAATATTCAAATCAAAAAAATCTCCATATCTAATATGTTGTGCAAAAAGCAAGGAACGACATAATTCCTTTTGATGCGAATCACTGGTGCATGTGATTAAATTCTGCTTTTTCCAATAATTATTGATTTTGTTGTTTCTTTATTTTATTAATTTTATTCATTTTTCTTCTTCTTTTTCCAGATTGGTTCCCATGAAGCAACTTGGGTAACAGCCGATTACATAGCAACCGCCGGATCCAATGAACTCAGCGTTACCAAGGGCCAACAGGTGGAGATTCTCGAAGCACCCACAGCCAATGAACCCGATTTCTGTTTGGTCCGTCTCAATCCTCAATGTGATGATGCTGCGGTCCAAGAAGGTTTGGTACCCGTCTCCATACTTAAACCCCCACCCGGTTCCCACAAATCGAGCTCATCGCGCAAGGACAAGAGTGAGAGTAACAATTTGCAGGATCAAAGTAAGTGGATGGTATTTTATTTGGATTTGAAGTGAAATGTAATGTTTGTGTTTTCTTTTCCAAAAAAAAAAATCTAGCCAACAATCGAAGTAAACCAGATCCGCTGACATCATCCACCAAACGAAGAGGTCTTGGGGGGTAAGTTCTAAATTAAGAATACTAAAATCACAAACATTTAATTAAAGAGGTCCACATTAGAAAGGAAAGCCTGGTATCCTTAAAAAGTAGAGCTCCTAAAAGGTTTTAAGTGAAACGATTGTTATACCCTCCACCTTGAAGAGGAGGGTAAATTAACTTTATCATTCCGTTAGTAAAATCCATAAATATTCGTCGTAGACCCTATAAGTGTATATATTTATGATCAGCATACAATTCTAGGTCCGTCCGTCTGTCTGTTCAAATCAGGATTCAAGGCAAGGCCCACAGTCTTTGACGTAGAGTTATAAAATTTGGTAAAACAAATTGTATTGTGTGTAGGATGGTTGGCATTGAATATGAGAAATATCGGTCCACGTTTTTGTATGGCCTCCATATAACAGTACCTCCCGATATTCGGTATTTTGATGATTGCCACATTTTTCCACGGATTTGTCTAAAAAATGGTATTTGTAGTTCACAATGGGTTTCAGCTCCGGTGGCAGAACATTGAATGTTTAGTTTTTTGAAAAGTTTAACAGCATTATCCAAACGGTGTTACTGTTATTTTATTTTGAACACGGAACGGAATTCAGATACTTTTATATATTTTTTTTCCTTTACCCTGCCCGGCCGAACTTAATGGTTATTTACGTGTTGAAGTTGTGACACCCATAGAAAGTCGTAGAAAGCTTATTCTATCCGGAGAACCGTTAAAAAGGCCTTTCTCCAATAGAATATCTTAGGACTTCTAATTTCAGTAGAACATTTTCCATTATTATTTTCTAAAGCTTCCAAAAGGACAGCCAGGAAAAAGGCTTCTATTTTAATATTAGATTTTAGAGCTTCAGTTTTTACTTCTCTTTTCAAAAGAAGAATTTCTTCTTTTCTTAGGGCTTCTTTTTCATAGAATACCTATGTTGTTTCTATTTTAATAGAAAAGCTTCAGGTCTTTTATTTTCAATGGAGTAGATTATTATTTAGAACTTTAATTTCTGATAGAAGATCTTCAGGGCTTCTATATTTTATAGCAAACCTTTAGGGTTTATGTATTCAAAGGAACTTTCGGGCTTTTATTTTCAATAGAAGACCTTAAGGGCTCCCATTTTAATAGACGTTTTTTGGGGAATTTATTTTTAAATATAAGACCTTTGGAGCTTCTATTTGCAATATAAATAGAAGATTCTATTATCATGAGCAAACATTTAACTTGAGCTCTTCAATTTGCTATAGGCTTCTATATTCAACAGGAGACCTTTAGGGCTACCATTTTTAACTGTAGGACTTTTAAAGTTCTATTTTAATTAGAATTCCTTCAGGGCTTTAATTTTCAATAGAAGACCATTTGGGTTTCTATTTTCAATAAAAAAAACTTTAGCAATTTAATTTCCAATAGAAGACCTTTGGGGGCTTCTATTTCCACTAGAAGATCCTTGGGGCTTATATTTTTCCTTTTATAAATGAAGGATTCCTTTTTTCAAGAGAAGACCGTTAGGGCTTTTTTTCAAAAAAATCGTTTGGAGTTTCTATTTTTAACAGAAGACTTCTAGGAGTTTCTTTTACAAGAGAAGGCGGTTGTCGCTTTTTTTTTAATAAAAACACTTTGGAGCTTCTATTTTTAACAGAAGATTTCTAGGAGTTCTATTATTGACAGAAGACATTTTTAAGTTATACCCGTTTAGAGGACTTTTAGAAAGTCTTATATCTTCCATCCACGGAAGACCTCTTAAAAGACATATATCCAAGGAACACATTTTGAAGGTTTATTTCCAAAGAAGACCTTTGGTCTTTGCCAAGAAAGGCTTTTAGAAAGTTCTCTATCCGTAAAAGAAGGTTTTCTTTACGTAGAAAATTTATAATTTGTCTTATTTCCATAAAGGACCTAAAAGTTCTTCTCCATGGGGGACCTTTCCACAAAACAAATTTAAAAATTCTGTCCATAGAAGTCCTTGATAAGTTGTATTTTCTAAGTTAACCTTGGCAAGATCTTCCATCTTTAGGAAAATTTGAAAGATTTTTTTATAGAAGACCTTTAGAGGATCTCTTTTCTACATAAGACATATAGACAGTCCTTTATGGAAAGAGGCATAAAGGACTTTCAATATATTTTTGTTTACCTTAAAGAAATTTGAATTTCCTGTTTTGCCACAGAAGACTTTTAAAAGGTCTTATGGTCTTATTTTCGACGAAGGCCTTTAGAAGGTCTTTCTTTGAAAGACTTCTTTCCGCAGTAGATGTTTAGAAAGCCTTCTTTCAGTAAAGACCACCTTTGGACGGCTTTCTTTTCAAAAATCTTTAGACCCTTCTTTTCACAGAAGTACTTCTAAAGACCTTTTTCCCACAAAAGAACCCAAAGGTCTTCTTTCTGCATGGAAAACCTTTGAAAATCATTTTTTAATTGAAGATCTTTAAAAGGTATTCATTCATAGGTCTTCTACTCTTCAGAGACCTTGAGAATATAATTTTAACCTGAAGACCTTTTGAAGGTCATTTTTCATAGACGACTTTCTGTAAATCTTTTCTTTAGTTGACCATCAGAAGGTCTTATCCCAAAGGGGTCTGCTTTCGTCGAAAGATTTTTTTATGCACAATTTTTTGAATGGCATTCTTTCGTAGATGTACTTTGTAAAGGGCCCTCTTTCGAAAGAATGTTTTTTCCAATGTAGGCCTTTAGAGAATCTTCTTGTCATCGAATACCATTAGAAGCTCTTTTTCCGATGGTTTTTCTATGAAAGACCTTTTTTCATTTAAGATCTCTGTAAAAGAGTATTTTCGGAGTATTTCCAAAGACCTTAAAATGGTCTTTTTCGAGAGGCATATTTTTCCATAGAACACCATTAGAAGGTCTTTTTCCAAAATATGAACATTGAAAGGTCCTTTTTCCAAGAATATCTTTAGGAGGCTTTCTTCCATACAGGAACAGTCTTTCCAAAGACCTCATGAAGAACCTTTAGAAGGTCTTTTTCAATAAGAACTCTTAAACAGTTGTCTTGTCTGTCTGTTTCCATAGAATTTTTTTTTTTTGAAGTTTTACTTTCTTAGAGGTCCTTTTTCCAAAGAAGGTTTTTTTCCCAGGAGGACTTTTAGACTGTTTTCTTGTCATGGAGTGCCTTCAGAGGTCCTTCTTTTCATAGAAGTTCCTCTAATGATTGTTTTCCATAGATTACCATTCGGTCTTTTCCTGCCAGAAACCTTCCAGAAGATCTTTTTTGCCTAGAAGGTCTTTAGATTGTCTACCTTTCCAAACGTTTTCCACCCAGAGCACACCTTTAGAATAACTTGTATCTATGAAAGAGCTTTACAACAATTTCCATTCACAGAAGAGGTTTAGAAACCCTTCTACCATGATAGTCCTTTAAGGCTTTTTCTTTCCATAGAAAACTGGTAAAAGGCGATTTCTATGGAAAACATTGGCAGTGCCTTCCATTCATAAAATTAATCAAACATGTTTAAATGAATAGAATACTTTCTTAAAGTATTTTGAGGACAAAAGTTCTTCATAGGATGTAAGACCATCAGTAATCCGGAATTGTTTTTTTTTTATTTCTTCTGTGAATGAGGGAAGTCCTTCTGCAGGGAAGAGGCTGTGGAGGCAAGACCTTCTGAAGGTCTTCTCTCAAGAAAAGTTATTTAAGGGGTTTATTTGCAGGGATGATCCTCTAGTGAGATGACCATCTCTTAGTGAGATGAATAAAATTCCATCCATCTTCTACACTTCAATGATTTGAAGATTTTGTAAAGGATTTCTATTCGCTAAGGAAATCCCAAAGAGGAACCTCAAAAGTTAACACCTAAATGGTCTTGAAAGTCTGCTATTAATGAAAGACCCATAAAGTCTAGGTAAAGAAACCTGTCTCTATCTCCCTCTCTTTCTCTCTTGCAAATTATGTTCTTCCATAACTTTTTCCTATTCAATTCCTCATCTTCGACTCGGAGAAATAAAAAACTTTTTTCAATAAAATTAATCTTAAGGGTCCTGTGGATAAAATTTATTTCTTTTAAAGAGAAGGACCTCAAAATGACTCTAGGGTTGGAAATCTTTCTAAATGGTCTTGAAAATATTCTATTAATGAAAAACCCATTTAAGATGTTTTCTGGATGAAAGACTTTCATAAAGTTTGGAGTCTTCTACGGTCCACTTATACTTGTTTTCCTTGAAATTAGTTATTTTCCCATGCAGGATGAAGACTCCTGTTTATTCCATTCAACTCAAATTTGATAGGACGTTTGGGGTGGAAGATATGTAGTAGCAGTGAATACTTTGTAAATAATCTTGAATGTCTTCTATTGACGGAAGCGCTTGTAGGGTCTTCTCTGAAAGGGAAATCTTGTAAGTCTACATTTAGAAGTCCATCAAAAGATGTTCAATATTTACCTGTGGATACAAGATCGATACAAGATTTCCTTGCAAATTATATTCTTCCATAACTTGTTCTTGTTCCTACTCATTTAAATCCTCGTTACGAAAAAAGAAAATATCTCTTTTCATAAAACGAATCCTAAAGGGTTCTTTGGATAGAAGGATTTGTTATGAAGAGAAGAACCTCAGAAGCACTCTTGGAATAAAAAAAACTTTAGTAGCGGAAAACCTTTTTTAAATGATCTTGAATACCTTCTTCTAATGAGAGACCCTCTGTAGTGTTATATGAAAGATACCCCATCATAAAATCTTCTACTTTTGGGGGTCCAACAAAAAGGTCTTCTTGATGGTCCGCCATGGATAGAATATATAGAAGAGCGTTATTTGTTTTCCTTGCATATTATGTCCCTCCATGTCTATTCTTACTACTAATTATTGAATTCCGCAGAAAAAAAGGAAAGGCATCTTTCAATCTAAGGGCCTCCTTAAATAGATGACCTTTTACACAAGAATCTCAGAAAATTTTCAAAATGATCTTCTCTTTTCTGGATAAAATAACTTCATAGAGGCATCTTCGTTTACAAAAGCCTCAAATGGTATTCTATCCTCTCCTTAAGATTGAAAATCGTTTTCCATTTTTTTC